TGGGGAGACATAGAAGCGCCTCGAGCAGGCGGAGGCGGCCGAGGCGGCGGCGCGGGGGAAGCACGACGCGCGGCCCGAGCACCCCGCGCGCTGGCAAGGAGAGGGGGGGGGGGGGGTGGCGCGCCGCCGGGGCGAGATTCGCCAGCCGTTTCAGCGGGTGAGCTGGTTCGTGGTTCAGGCCATGCGCCGATGGACTCGCGCGACGGGCGGCAGCAGAAGCGGCGCGCTCGAGCACCGCGCGCCGGGGACGCGCACAGGTCTGGGGGCGGGCGGGGGGCGAGCTCACCGCTGTGCTACCGATTGGTATAGGTGCGTGCAGCAGCTCCGCGTGGCGGGGCGGGGACGGGCGGAGAGAGAGAACAGTCCGTGAGCAGCCGACGGCCGAGACTGCTCTCACAGGCGGAAGATGGCGTGGACACCCGACGAGGACGCGAAGCTGCTGCTGGCCGCCATCCGCGCGCTGCGGCGGCGGTCTGACAATTAATTAATTATTAAGTAGGTGTGTTAATTAATTATGATTAATAATTAATTAACGGCGGTCGTCTAACAAAAGGAGCTCTTGTTTGCTCCTCTAGGACGCGAATATCCTGGCCGCCATCCGCGCGCTCGGCACGCGGAGACATGCCCCTAATCCCATCTCGTCTCAGAGTTTGACCGCGTTATTTGTTGATGTATTCAGGCACGCAGTGGGCGCTCATCGCGCAAAAGCTGGAGCGCAGCGCACCGCGGACGGACGCAGTACAGTCAGCCGCCAGAGGTGAGGCATTCACACCGCGATGCTCGTGACCCGTCACAGGAGCACCGCACGCCCGACGCCGTGCGGAACCGGTGGCACCATCTCCAGCAGTCGCTCAACCTCAGCCACGTCGGGCAGCACGGTGTGGACAGCGTCTCTTCACACCTCTGGCTGTGAACAGGTCGCTCACCCTCAGCCACGTCGGGCAGCACGGTGTGAACAGCGTCTCTTCACACCTCTGGCTGTGAACAGGTCGCTCAACCTCAGCCGCGTCGGGCAGCACGGTGTGAACAGCGTCTCTTCACACCTCTGGCTGTGAACAGGTCGCTCAACCTCAGCCACGTCGGGCACGATTCGGCGGCGGCGTCCGCCGCAGGCAACTCGTGATGCTCTTTGTGGGCCGCGGTCCCCCGTGCGCCAACGCCCTCCCTCTCTTCACACCTCCGGCTGTGAACAGGCACCGCGATGCGTGTCAACGCGGAGCCAATCAAGGAACAGTGTGAAGTGTCGATTGCTTAAGATTCATCAACAGGCACCATGATGCGTGTCAACGCGGAGCAGCCAGCCCCCGCGCCCGTCCCCCCCCCGGTGCCGCACGCCGCCATGGCAGGGGGGCTGACAATGCCTCCGCCGCCGCTGCTGCCGGCGCTTGCTCTCGGCGAAGGTACCACACCACCCACGCGGCTGAACCCGCACTGGGTTCGGTACTCTGGAGGTATGGTAGTAGGGATGGTGGTGGTGCACAACCCGACGGGTGGCATGATGGTGGAGGTTGCTGCCGAGGTGCCGCCGACGAGGACTAGCGACGAGGGAAGGACACACTCGAGTGATGGGGACTGCCGTGACGATGGCTGCGCGACGAGGAGATGCTGCCATGAGGATGCTGTAGCTCACGATGGCTGCTTTATGACCTAGTACTATGACCTAGTACCCACCGCTGCCGCCTGCACGTGCGAGCAGGTGCCGTCGACGCGCATCACGGGCGCGGCGCATGGCCGCTCCCGTTGGACGGCGCAGGAGGACGCCGCCATCGAGGAGGGGGTCGAGCGAATTGATTGTCCATTCGTGAATTAATTATTAATTAGGAGGACGCCGCCATCGAGGAGGGGGTCGAGCGAATTGATTGTCCATTCGTGAATTAATTATTAATTAGGAGGACGCCGCCATCGAGGAGGGGGTCGAGCTGCACGGCCTGAAGCGGCGCAAGGTCGGGACGATGTTAATTAGTTAGTAACTAAGACTTATTGATTAATTAGCAGGCCTGAAGCGGCGCAAGGTCGGGAAGATGTTAATTAGTTAGTAACTAAGACTTATTGATTAATTAGCAGGCCTGAAGTGGCGCAAGATCGCGGCGATGCTGCCCAACCGCTCCGACTCGTCGATACGCAACCGCTGGATGCGGCTGCAGGAGGGGCTCGCGCGTGAGGCCTGTTAATTAATAACTAATTAATGATTAGTTGATGATAATCAACAGGAGGAGCTCGCGCGTGAGGCCGGCGAGAGCGGCGCCGCCCCGCGCGCCGGCGCCGCCATGCGGGCGCTGGCAGCCAAGGAGAGGAGCCACAATCTCCTACAATCTCCCACAATCCCCCACGATCTCCCCTGCAGGCGCCGGCAGCCAAGGAGGAGCCACAGACAATCTCCCCATATCTCCCTCCATCTCCCCACAATCTCCCATGCAGGCGTTGGCCGCCAAGGAGGAGGCACAGACAATCTCCCCATATCTCCCTCCATCTCCCCACAATCTCCCATGCAGGCGTTGGCCGCCAAGGAGGAGCCACAGACAATCTCCCCATATCTCCCTCCATCTCCCCACAATCTCCCATGCAGGCGTTGGCCGCCAAGGAGGAGCCACAGACAATCTCCCCATATCTCCCTCCATCTCCCCACAATCTCCCATGCAGGCGTTGGCCGCCAAGGAGGCGCCCTGCACCGCCTCCGCCCCCGGCCTCCCTCCCCCAACCGCGCTGCTGGCCGCGCGCGTCGTCGACAACGGCAAGGCCGAGGACGTCCCGGCGGCGCCCGGCGGCAGCACGGAGCTTGTCGCCGCGCTGCAAGTGAGCAGAGCTAACGAATGGCCGTCCGCTAGCACACCTAGCGAGGTAAACCACACCCAACAGCGACGGAGCGTGACGCGCTGCAGGACCGGCGCGCTTGCTCCGCCGCCGCCGCCGCCTCCCCCGCCTCGGCGCTGCCGCGCATGGCGTCCTGCTGCGGCGGCGGCGCCGCCCCCGCCGGCGCGGCTGGCGCTGGGTGCGGCGGTGTGTTCGCTGGCGGCGGGTCGGTCGGTGGCGCCGCTTGTGTCGGCTGCCCAGCGGCTAGTTCCCCGGGCGCTGCCGGCGTGCTGCCTGTCGGCGCGGCGCCGATTGCGCGCAAGTGCAGCCAAGAGCCGATTGCGGAGGTGCTCGCGACCATGGCGGGCGGGGAGAGCGGCGCGGGGGTGCGCGCGCCGTGGCGGGGGCGGCGCATGGGGTGGTGTGAGCAGCGTCTCTTCACACCTGCAGCTGTGTGAAAACAGGTGCGCGCGCCGTACGGCGGCGGCGCCATGTTTCCGCGTGGCGCGCCCGACCCGCCAGACGCGGGAGCGGGCGGTGGTGGGGGTGAGGGGAGGCGCTGTTCACACGGCTCGCCGGGGTGTGAACAGGCGCCGACCCGCTCGACACAAAGCTGGCGGGCATGATGGTGTGAACAGCGTCTCTTCACACTTGCAGCTGTGAACAGGCGCCGACCCGCTCGACACAAAGCTGGCGGGCATGCAGCGGGTGGCGCAGGCACATACCTCGGCGAGATCTCGGCAGATACCTCGGCGAGATCTCGGCGAGATCTGGGCAGATACCTCATCTCGGCTGTACCTCGGAGAGGTTATCAGCGGGCGGCTGGCAGGCTCGGCTGTATCTCGGCTGTATCTCGGCTGTATCTCAGAGATGCAGCGGGCGGTTGGCAGGCTCGCCTCGAGGCACACGCGGTCGAGGAGGGCCGGCTGCACGACCAGGTGGGTGGGGGCTGGCGGCTAGAAGTGAAGGACGTGACTCCGAGGGGAACTAGAAGCTTCCAGCCGCCCAGTTGCGCTAGATTGAGAAGAGTGGTAAGATGTCTCAACGCGAGAGTGTCTAGAAGTGGTTCTCCGCCACCGGGTACACCAGCTAGATGAGAAGTAGCAAGATGCACGAGCAAGGACAGTCTTCGCCACGACCAGGCGGCGCGGCACGACGCGACGCAGACATGGGCCGCCGGCCTCGCGCAGCAGCAGGCGCAGCACTACCTCGCCGCGGCGCCCTCCCCCGCCAAGCCGCGCACCCGCAAGGAGCGACGCAGGGGCGGCGGGAGGGCGGCGGGCGGCGGGGAGCGGCGCGGCGGGGCGGGCGAGGGCGGCCCTGTGTACTCCGACGCCGCGGAAGATGGGCGCGAAGATGTCTACGAGGCGTGGCAGCGGGGCGGTGATTCGTAGCTCACAGCGCTACTCCTCCCTCGCTATAGGCGCGAAGACTTCTACGAGGAGTGGCAGCGTCAGCAGTGGGCGCAGCGGCAGGCGCAGCAGACTGCGCAGTGGCAGCAGTGGTGGCGGCAGCAGCGGCACGAGGCGCCCGCGGCCATGCAGGCCGCCACTCCGCCGCAAGGCCCGCCGCGCAGTGCCAAGGAGGAGCAGGCGGCGCTGCGCGCCCAGAAGCGGCTCCGCACGTCCATGGCGGAGGCGGCGCTGCTCGCTTCGCCGCTGGCCTTCAGCGGATCGGGCGGGAGATAGCCGAGATACAGCCGAGATATAGCCGAGATATAGCCGAGATGTAGCCGAGATATAGCCGCTGGCCTGCACCGGATCTGGGCGAGCAGCGCCTCGGAGCAGTTGATCCGCCCGCGGCCACACCGTTCAGTCAATGATCCATTGTTAGTTGTTACTTTAGGCGAGCAGCGGCTCGAGCTCCCGCGGCTAGGCCATTCAAGCAATGAGTTCATTACTAATTAATTAGGCGAGCAGCGGCTCGAGCTCCCGCGGCTAGGCCGCGCCAAGAGGGGCGCGGGGCCAGGGGGGGGAGCGGCGGGGGTCGGGCACTTCGAGCCGCGGCCTACCTGGCCGCCTTCCTGCGGCGTGCACCAGCCGGGCATGCCTTCGGGCGCGGAGCCGCCGCCGCTGGCGATGAGCGACTCTTTCCTCGCCTCTCCGTATGCCGCCACCGCGCTGCAGGCCGCGCACACACTGCTCCGGGTCCCGGCCAGCCCCGCGGGCCCGTAATGAATGACTAATGAGCTCATTAATTAATCAGGCCGCGCAGTGCTCCGTCGCGAACGGCCAGCCGCACCACTCGCTCGCAGCCATGGAAGGCCACCCGCCCCCCTTCGCCAGCGGCATTCGGTGAAACGTTAACGATTCGTCACTGGTGGGATGACTGCAGCTCGTGTGTTATTAATCTAGGCCACCCGCCCTTCCAGCCGTACGCGCCGGCGGCGGCGGGCGGCACGCCGTGGCAGGTGGGCGACTGAGTTGCCGTTGATGAGAGGGAGGCGCCGTCCACACAGAGCCCCGCAAGGGGGGGAAGGGGCGGCGGCGGCGGCGGCGGCGAGGGGGCGGCGGGGGGAGGGGGGGGGGGGGGGGGCCCCCTGAGGTTGGCAAAAGTGGGCGGCTAAGGCGGAGGCAGCGTGCAGCTCTCCACCGTCCGTCCAAAAAAAAGCCCAAACCCCAAAAGCGGCTTCTCCCAGGGGAAGTGCGGGGACCGTCGGACGGTGGAGAGGGGACTCTGGGAGAGGAACGGCGCCGTAGAGTACTTTATCTGCGGTCTGGCGGTAGAGGGTAGTGGGTGAAATGGTCCACTTAAACATTCATTTTCAAAGCCCCAAACCCAAACCCAAACTGAATCTCGAGGCGTTTGAGAGGCGTTTTCGTTCGGCGTCTATGATGACGGTGACAACCGGTAGATCGCTCCTCGAGGGATGGAAGCGATGGATGTTTGCACTGCTTGGGGGCCTCAGGGCCCGGACTGCTTGGCCCTGGCGATGGAGTTGCAGCCGGGCGCGCCGGACGCCGCCGCCGCGGCGGCGGCCATCGAGTCGCCCGGGTCGCGCGGGGTACCCCGAGTCGGCCATGGCAGCTTGGACCTGAACATGTCCAGGATGGTGGATAGGTACTTGGGCAGACCTGGGGCTCGGACGCGGCGCTCCCCCGTGCTCCCCGGGCGCTCGTCGCTTCCCTCGGCGATGCTCTTTCTGGCCGACCCGGTGCGCGCGGCCACAGATCACGTTCTCTCACGTTATGGCCCTCGGCGCGCTGACGCTCGCTCGCGCGCCTGCGCAGGAGAAAAACTTCTGCCTGCCACCCCGTCCACGGGCGAGAGGTTCGTCGAGTCCGGCAACGACCGCGCCAGCGACACGGAGGTGCTCGTCATCGCCCTCCTCGTGATCCTCTTCGAACCCAGCCCCAATGAGACCCAGGAACGGGCTGCTTTGGCGCGCGCGCGTGCACGTGCCGTGCAGAGCGGGCCAGCTGGGCGACGGCGGCGGCGCCCGCCGGCTCCGGCCGCTCCTGGGCTCCTGGCAGTCTTTTCCCAGCGGCTTCGCACGCGCCCCAACATTCTCCCTGACAGCAGCGCCTCACGGCGTGGGCTGCGAGGTCACTCGGGATGACCCAGGGGCGGCGGGGGAGCAATCTCCCGCCGGAGTAGCGGGC